CTAGTTTGATGCCTTCATGGTCAGAAAAGATGGTTGATATGATTTCAATCTTGGTGTATCTGTTGATGTTTGTCTTGTGCCCCAGTATGTGATGGATCCTGGAGAATGATCCGTGTGCGCTTGAGAAAAATGTGTACTCCGTTTTTTTGGGGTTTAGTGTTCTATAGATGTCTGTTAAGCCCAGTTGCTCTAGGTCCTTATTTAGAGCTTTGGTTTCTTTACTTATTTTTTGTCTTGTTGATCTATCCATTGTTGATAGTGGTGTGTTGAAGTCTCCCACTACGTATGTGTTTTCTCTGATGTCTGTTTTCAGAGAGGACAACAGTTGTCTGATATATTTTGGTGCTCCTTCGTTTGGTGAGTATATGTTAATGAGTGTTATTTCTTCTTGAAGTATTGTCCCCTTGATCATAATGTAGTGACCATTGGGGTCTCTTTTTATCTTTTTGAGTTTGAAATCTGTTTTATCTGATATAAGTATAGCTGTTCCTGCTTTCTTTTTTGGTCCATTTGCTTGTAGGATTGTTTTCCATCCTTTAACTTTGAGCCTATTTTTATCTTTTGTAGCTAAATGTGTTTCCTGGAGACAGCAAAAGGTTGGGTTTTGTTTCTTAACCCAGGCTGCAACTCTGTGTCTTTTTATTGAAGAGTTTAGTCCATTTACATTTAGAGTTAATATTGATATGTTAGCATCTGTATTTGCCATTGTGTTTGTCTTTCCTTTGATTTTATTTATTTATTCTTTTAATAACTTTTTTTTTTGGCCTTCTTTCATTGTTATTCGTCCCTCTGAGGTTCTGGCTTTAGGACTCCTTGTAGTATTTTTTGGAGTGAGGGTTTAGTTGTAATGAAATTCTGGAGTTTCTGTTTGTCTGGGAAGGTCCATATTCTTTCTTCAAAGAGGAAGGAGAGCTTTGTGGGATAGAGAATTCTTGGTTGGCATCTGTTTTCTTGGAGTCTGTTGACTATGTCCCTCCACTCTCTCCTTGCCCGTAGTGTTTCTTCAGAGAAGTCTGATGTCAGCCTGATTGGCTTTCCTTTGAATGTTATCTGTTTCTTCCCTCTTGCCAGCTTCATTATTTTTTCCTTGTCCTGGATTCTTGGGAGCTTTACTATTATGTGTCTTGCTGTATTTTTCCTTTCGTCGTGGAAGTTTGGTGTTCTTCTTGCTTCTTGTATATCAATTTTCAGCTCCTTCTTCACATTTGGGAAGTTCTCTTCAATTATCTCTTTGAATATTTTCTCTGTTCCTACATCTCTCTCCTCTCCTTCTGGTATTCCTATAACTCTTATATTTCCTTTCCTCATGGAGTCAGATAGTTCCCGAAGTCTTTCTTCGTTCTTTTTCCTTCGTACTTCTCTTTCCTTTTCTGTTTTGGTTCTTTTTATTTCTGTGTCTTCAAGATTACTTATTCGTTCTTCCATTTCATCTATTCTGCTTTCATTGCTTTTCCCAGAATTCTTTAGTTCTTCCATTAATTCTTTGATCTCCTGCATTTCTTTTACTTCCCTCTTTAGGGACTCAATTTCATTCTTCTGACCATTGTTTTCCCTCTATAGGGACTCAATTGCATTCTTCTGATCGTTGATTATTTTTCCCTTATCATTGTTTTCCTTTATGACTTCTGTCAGTTTTTTAATCACGGCAATTTTAAATTCTCTTTCTGGAAGGCTCAGAAGTTCTTCCAAGTTACTGTCGTTGCAATCTGGGGGCTGCTTTTCTTTTTGTGGTGTGCTTTTTCCCTGGGGAGTTGCTAGGTTGCGTGTGGTTCTTCTCCTCCCTACTGTCTGTTTTCTAATTTGCCGTATGCGTTGTGACACTGTGTAGTTGGGACTGGCCGGCATCGTGGGTGAGCTTCTCTGCTCTCCTCTGGTTCCTCCAGGAGTCATCTCTGGCTCCTGAGGAAGCCTTCTGCAGGTAGTCTTTACTGAAGAAATGTCCCTGTTCTAAGATGGTGATGTGGGACACACTCCCTGCACGTCCTGGTCTCAGGCACACTCTTCTGCGCGCCTGGTCTGCCCCGGCTGTGGGTGCTCGCTCCCCCTGTGGGCTCAGACTACTGGTCGGAAGGGGCCCGGCGTGGGCTAACTCCCCAGCTGGCCACTGTCTCCTCTAGGCGCCTCTGCTGGCTTCAAGTCGCTAGGTGGCGCCAGAGATCTCTCCTGGAGCCCTTGGGGAGCTGATTTTCCACCCCGTGGGACAGGGAATAGAGCGGGAATGGTAGGGTAAACCTCAACGGCTTTGGGGTGCTGTGTTTGCCTTGTGCCCCACCGTCGTGGGGAACCCACGCCCCTAATTTCGTGTCCCGGGTGTCAGTTCCAAAGCCCTCAGTTCCAGGACTCAGGCTGTAGCCCAGTTCAGTGGCGCCGGAATGGCGCCTTTTGAATCCCGCTCCCGTGCCTGGGCGCCTGGTTCCTGCCTAGGTCGCAGGCGCAGGGACCTGGGCAGCTGCGATCTGGATCCGCGTTTGCTTTTCAACTGCACTGCTTTTCTGAGCGCGATCCCGATTCCGATCCGCACTTGGTTTTCCAGCGCTTACAGGGCGGCCCGGGGCTGTGTGCTGGTGCTGGTCTCCTCCTGGGCGGGGTCTCCTCTCTAATGGCGCCCGGAGCCGTTCGCTCACCGCCGCGGCAGATCCTGCAGGGTTCTCCCCAGCTCCCGTTCACGGGGTGTGGTGGCTGCAATAGTTCCTTTCCACTCACAGTCCCGCTTGCTGCGTCGTTTGTTCTTGTGGGCCCTTTTGGTTTGTTGTTTTCCTCCTCTCTGCCGGTCGGAGAGTGCCGCCTCTGTGGGCGGGGGAGGGGAGCAGGGTTCTGCGCTTCCCTCCCTTCTAGTCCTCTTTTATGGCCACTTTCTTCTTCGGGCAGTTTGCTGGCGTCACCAGTTTATCTTCCGTGTCCCAGTTCTCACGGGGACCTGCTGCTTTTCCTCCCTATTCACTTTTTTTAATGGGAGATCTTACTCGCAGCGTCTCCTCGCCGCCATGTTGCTCCGCCCCCCCCCCCCCCCCCAGTGAAGTTTTCAAAGCCATGAAAGGCAAAGGGTGTGATTTTCCCACTGGGGGAATCTGGGCAACTTCATAAACACAGCAACTGCAATTAAAGGAGCTAGTAGATAAAGTACTATCAACTCAATAATTGCATTTCTATAACGCATGTGCAAAAAACTTTAAAAATATAAATGGCAAAGAGGACTCAAGGAATCTTCTATAACAATATATATAATAAAAATTAACACTCAGTGAGAGTACATTTTGTGTTCTAAGGACTACAAACTATAATGCCTTTAATATATCATAATCAACTTAGGAATTATCATTTTATAGAACAGGAAGCCGAGGTGCAGACCAAATAACTTGACCAATGTTCGCAGTTATTTAAGGAGAGAGGTGGGAATGGCAGTGCTGACGGTCCCCATGCTTCTGCTGAGCGTGATGTGCCTCCTAGCTCTTGTGTCTAGCTTGACTTCTCCTCCTGTGGGCACTTTCCCATCTGAAGGCACAGGCTTCATTTCTCATTCCCTTTTATGAGTCTAGGGACTTCTCTGCTGCTCTGTGCTCTGCAGTGCATCACATGGCTGCTCTCCTTATGTGACTGCTTCTGGCTCTTTGCCTCTGCACGACACTGCCTTCCTTTCCTGATAATAATGCTAAAGTAAGGGATCTCTCTGTGCGTCTGTTCCAACCTGATTCCAACCTCACCTTGAATTAGACTTGAATTGTCTGTTCAGTATCTTGGTTATTTAGAGTGACCAAGTTTTGCCACATAGGCCGGACTCAGAAGGCAATGTGAACTTAGGGTCTTCTATGTCATGCTCCCTCCAACACCATCCTGTGGCCTTGTTCTACATTTGCTCCTTTATCGGACAGATCAATTCACAGCTCTCATTGGGCTCTCAATTCATCACATGCACAGAAGCCTTTACTTCCACTGTTATTGGTGGAGAATACAGAATGGCTGTCAACTTTCATTACTTTGGCTAAAATATGTTTACTGGGGTAACTAGGATCATTTAAGCAGTCCACATAACAAGCAAACTTTTATTCTTGGCAATATTGTTTATTCCACCTGACTTGAAGGGAAAACTTTAAGAGACAAAGAAAATTTTATATCTTCCCCATATTCTAAGAAGATTATCTTGCCACCAACTTGGGGAAATAAACTTGTTCATTACTGAAGTACCCAGATTAGTCACCAAAACAAACATGGAAAGTAGGTTTCTCTCTTTCTTCCTTCTGTGCACAAGGTAGATAGGAAACACATTTGAGCAGCAGTTAAATATATCAGAAGTGGAAAATTGCAGATAGTTTAAAAATGTTCATGGAGAAAAAACTATAAGGGACTAAAAAATACCAGAAAGGAAATCAATGCAGTGATAAACACTGATTATGGTTGGAAGAAACTCATATGTATAATTCTTTACAAAAGATAAAACATGAGGGCCTCCTGGTAGCACAGTGGTTGAGTGCTGGGCTACAAAGCTGCCCGCAGCCTCTGCAGCACCGGGCGAGGGTCCCACATGGTGCACAGACCCCTCCTGCCACCCGCTGCTTCCCTCAGCAGTGTACTTCGTCAGTCTGCCTGTTCTGTTCCCTGCTCTGGCTCTAGGGAATTCTCTCACCCTCCTGCGCTTCTCACTGTACCCAGTGCTTGTATAAACAACAACAACATAAATAAATAAATAAATAAATAAATCCCAAAAGATGAAATTTTTCAAATATAAATCCAAAACAAAATTCAAGCAGTTATTTATTTGTGAGTACATTATGAGCTCAAGAAACTAATAGTTAACATGTTTCAGGCCTATGACTGGTGAATCTTCTGGCAGAAAGAAATCATAGAGGTTGTCTAATCCAGATTCTCTGATTCTGGAACAAGCACTATTTAAACCCCAACCTATAGATTATCTATTGTTTATCCAAAGGCCTTTCAGGGATGTATAGTCTCCATTTTTTTTTTTAAATTGCTGAGCAAATTAATTAATACCACTTTGGTTGCAGGCTAATTCTGTGGAGTTACCTTGAGGACAAAGGCAAGGAGACTCAGGGAGTACTGATGTCCATCACAGTAGCATAACAAAGGTAAAGTGTGGTAAGTTAGAAGAAAATGAAGGAAACGATAAGGTTAGAAAAGACTAGAAATTTTAAAGATTATCTGAGAAAGGAATAGAAAATATGTCTCATCATGGAGCAGGAATCTGTGGAGGGAAATTTATTCCTAATTTATTCATAATTTAATAACGTAGAGAAATCTTTCCATATTTGACTCATTTGATAAGGGTACCAAGGAGTCAAACAGAAGTGGGTGGCAGGGAGTGAAGAGAACTGTGTTCAAGTTTATTATAGTGTAACAAACCACTGTAAAACTTAGTGGCTGAAAAAAATCAACCATGTTATATTTATTATTGAATAAATTTTTAGGCTAGGAATTTAGGCTGGGCTCAACTGGGTGATTCTTCTGTCCTATGTGGAGTCCACAGAGGTCGCTTGGTAGCATTCTTTCAGCTGGCAGACAACAGATGTGGTCTGGAGGGTCCAGGTAGGATTCATTCATATGTTTTTATCCCGTTGACAGGGATGATTGAAAGGGTGGGGGCTCAGCTGGGTCTTTCACTTATATATGGACCCCCGCCCCCAGCAAAGTGATCTTAGGGTAGCTGGACTTCTTATATGATAGCTCAGGATTCTTAGAGTGTTTCAAGGTGAGCAGGATAAAACTGCAAGGCATGATCAAACCTAGGAAACCCCAGAGCATAACTTCTATAATCTACAGATCAAAAATACCACTAGAGTCAGCCCACATGCAAGAGCAGAAGTATTAGCCTCTGTCTCTCAATGGGAGGATGTATTTGCATACATGTGTTTGTGTGCATGCATGCATATGTGTGCATGGGTGTATATGCACTGCAAGTAGTTTAATGTATTGAGAAAGAAATAGGGAAATAAAATATGAGAGGAAGGCAAAGAGTTCATATTTCAAAATCCATTTTGTGTGCCATGTTCTTGATTTGGGAATTTAGGGGATGTCATTTGGAGGGTTTTAAGCAGAGGTCTAATATGTTTATGCTTGAGGAAGACTTCTTTGGGCCATAGTGGGCAAATGAGAGCCTGATCTGACCAGGACACCTATCTCTCAAAGAAGAAGCTCAAGGTAGTTTAGCAATTATTCTGAAATCTTTTCTTGCAACTCACTGGAATTCTCCTTGCTCAAGTCCATTTTTCCTTAGAATAATTATTGTGGATACATAAAATTGTACTTCTGTTTTTTTTTCCCACAGATTGAGAAACTTTTCCATCTTGATTAGTAAAGAAAGTATATTGCAACTGTATTAGCTGCTCCATGAAATATATATTTAAAGGGAGACACTGTTATTATGATTTTAAGACTCCCCTCTCCCCTGCACAATGACATCTGAGAAATCAAAGTAGAAAGAAAAGCTTAGTTCTGTCTTAGAGAAGCTTCAAATGTTTGCTTTTTTATTATAGAATTTATTTCAGTTTGACAATATTTATGTTGCTTCTCCCCTCTACCAAAACACTTCTGAACCCTTTAGTAGCTTAGCCTATGAAATCAGACCATCATGGTCCAGTCTTGCATCTGAGGCAAGTTCTTTAAATGAGAGCGACATTACTTTCCAGGACTAGAGAGGACTATGGACATATATAGTCTCACATGTAGATATAAAATGCTTTTACCAATCAATATCAAAGGTAGGAGTTATAACTGAGAAAGGTATACATGTAGAATTTTTTACTTTGTGAAAAAATAACAATACTAAGAAAAAAATAACAACACACTTTCACTTTTGAAAAAGTTCTTAATTCTAATTTTCTTTTATCACATGAAAAATTATATTTGTTCTTCAAATTAGCCACTTCAGAAGAAATTAGAGCAATACTTCAGTGTAGACAGACTGTTCCAGCAGACACTAATCATCTGTAATGCACAATCCATTCCCATAGTAGACAGGTCTACCAATCCCATAGGTTACTTGAGCCATAGGAGAAAGTGTGAGTGTTTGATGAACTGGAATGGACTTATCACATTGGGTACTTTCCTTATGAAATATCCTTGTAGCTGACCCCTTCAAGACACCTTTCATATGAAAAAAAATGCATTTGCCTTCAAGTGCAATGCAGAATGCTTTGCAGAAAATTAATTTCATTTTTAATTAGGAGCTGGTTCCATCATCTGGCTCATATCTCATTCTGTCAGCTCACCATGATACTGCATTCTACATAAACAGGAATTTTTACCAGCACAGTTTCTCTTTAAGCAAGGAAATATTTTACATAATGCCTATTGTGTTATGTGTGTATAACACATTTTCTGAATATCATATCCTTATTTTTCTTTCAAAGGTGTCTGAAGAGAACTAGAATAATATGTTGACATTGAAGTAAAAAATAAAAATAAAAAAACAGAATTTCAACCATTAGAACAGTGGATATCAATTTCTAGTTGAATATTAGAATCACCTGGAAAGCTTTATAAAAATACCATTGCTGGGCCTCCCCGGTGGTGCAGAGGGTTGAGGGCTGCACTGTGAAGCTGTCTGCAGCCTCTGCAGTGTGGGTTCCATTTCCAGCCAGCCAGGGACATTCCCACATGGTGCGCAGATCTCTCCTGCCTTGCCTGCTGCTCCCCTCAGCAGTGTCTTCAGTCCATCTGCCTGTTCTGCTCCCTGCTCTGTCTCTGATGAATTCTGTCACCCTTCCATGCCTCTGGCCTATACCCTAGTTCTTGTACAAATAAATAAATAAATCTTAATGTCACACCCATTGGTATTTTTCTAAAAGTATCCCAGGAGATTCTAGTGTGCAGCCAAGCTTGAAAACACACAGCACCATAAGATTCTTTGGAGATATATGTTACATGGAGAAAACTTTGAACAATAATATGTGAGAAATATTTTCTTCATGGCTTATTTTATTTGACATCCTTAAATAGCATGTACAATATTATGCAAAGTTTTTCCTCAAAAACATCATCTAAAACCTAACTATGAGGAGCCCATTGCACACATGACACTTTGCTCTAAGTTTATGAGAAATGGAGAAAAGCTTATTTCATGTACAGTAGGATTTGCCAGAAAGCTAATGAGTCCAGTTTCAGGGTGTTCGTTGCATAGGTCTCTTCCAAGGCCACAGAAGGGGCCCTAGCAATGTGATCATATGTTTTTACGAATCAGCAAAAATCATGTAGTTTTACCATTGCTATCTCTTTCACCTCTGTTTTCCATATAAGGTAGCCAATGCTCCAAGAAATTAAGGTATAGAGTGAGGTCACCAGCCAGTAAGCGGAAGAGCAGAATTTAGACCCAGCCCCGTTTTCTAAGGAAACTCTATGGGGACTATACCTGAGGGGTGGTGGAAGCATAAACTGTTTTAAAATGAACAATGATGTAAAAAAAAATTTAAAAAAAAATAAAATGAAAAAAAAAAAATAAAGACCCTTGAGCATTGCACACTACGCCACTGTCGCCTACTATAAATTGAACACTCAGCCCTGCTATCGGCCTGCTGCCTGCCGCCCTCCTCCACTGCACTTCCCATGCTGTCCCCAAGACACACATCTTTTTGTGAGTTTGGAAGAGATGCCGCATTTGGTTTTAAGGATCAGTGTGTGATTTGAAAAACAGAAAGTCCCTCTCCAAAGGGAAAGACTGGAAGGCTTCCCGCCCTGCCCCAGGTACCCAGCCAATGTTTCTAACGGTCTGAATCACACAACTAGGGCCAGAGAAAGTGTGGGTTCCAGGTTTCTTCCAGGCAGCTGCCAAGTTTGTCCTGCAAAGGGGGAGGGGGTGAACAGTGAGAGACAGTTGAGAGAATTAAGAGGAGAGAAAGACACACGCAAGATTTCCATCTAAGAAGTACATCTAGGACCTCCTACCTTTTTCAAATTAGTATTAGCAATTTCTAATTTGAAAATTATCAAGCTGAGAGGCAAAGGGCAAGAGAGAAGCTGCTTTGTATGCTGACTTCAAGAGCCTTTAGGTACTCAAGAGAGAATTTTGTTAGTTTGTTTATGTGTCCTTAGGTTTATTACTGTTTCAATGCAATCCAAGTTCACACACCCACACTTTTTAATGACTTCCTGTTTTTTTCTCACTTTCAACATGAATTGAAAACTTTCTGATGTGACATATGTCTTAGCATCACCCTAGTGTCCAACAGGATTATTTCCAGGGAGAAATTTCCTAAATATTCGGACCATTTCTTTGGCAAAGGTCCTGTTCTATGTTCCCTACTTTCTACAGAAGGACAGACACAAAAATCATGATGAGATGAATACACAGAATTTATAAATGCTCTGAAAGAAAAAAAAAGATGCCAAGATGATCTCTGTGGAGGAGATGAACTTTATCTATGTAGGGATTATCTGACTTTACAGCTGATGCTTAACATCAGGCTTGAATTCATTGTATCCTAAATCACACTCTCAATTCCCATTAATTTGGGGACATCAAACATTAATTTTGGGACCCTGAACTCAGGATCCTTGAACTCTTGATGAGCTCCTCTTTCTTATCTTCAACCATTTCCTTTACTGGGGTTTTCTTCACAAAAGGTAAATTTATGTTATTCCCTCTTAACTAAAAAATAAGCCAACAAACACGACCCACGTTGACCTTGTGTTACTGCCACCTTTCCACTTCAACTGAATGTCTTCACTTTGTTTCATTTATCACTTCACTTACTTCTCAGCTCACTGAAATCTGGCTGCTCTTTCAAGGTCATCAAAAACCTCCATACTCCCATGATGCCACTAGGTCATTCAAACACTGTCCACCCAGATACTCTGATCTTCTTTCAGGTAGTATTAGACCTTCTGGATCAGTCTATCCTTTTTTAACTCTCTTCTCTATGCTTCTGTGAGATCAAGCTCTCTTCCTCGGGTCCTGCTCCCCACCTGCATTCTTTCTCAACCACCTATTTCAGGCTCATCTTCCTCTGCCTTGATCTCAAGTACTAACATTTCCTTGATTATTTCCCAGGTCTCCTTCTCTTCTGTTCCTACATAACTTAACTGATGGAGCCTTCCACTTGCGTGGCTTCAGGCACTCCCTAAATGTTGATGT